GTGGAAAGTGTCCCTGCCCATGGCAGGGGGTGGCACTGGATCATCCTTAAGGTCCCTTCCATCCCAAACCTTCCTGGAATTCTGTGCTGTAGCTGGTGACTGTGTTGTGTTTGGGGTGAGGAGGAAGAGAAGGGGTTTGGATACAACCTGGTCTAGTGGAAGGTGTCCCTGTCCATGGCAGGGGGTGGCACTGGATCATCCTTAAGGTCCCTCCCATCCCAAACCATCCTGGAATTCTGTGTTGTAGCTGGTGAGTGTGTTGTGTTTGGGATGAGGAGGAAGAGAAGGACTTTGGAGTGGGGGAAAAAGGAAAAGGAAGGGCTGGAAATCCTTTCCAGGATGGAGAAGTTCTGGCTTGGGGTGAGGAAATATCTGGAGAGGGTTGGGATTGGCACTGGAGGAGAGGGATGGGAGTCTGGGAGGGAACATGGGAGTCACCCCTGAGCACTTTGTGTCTTGTAGCATCTTGTGGAGAATCCCAGAGTTAAAAACCTCCTGGAAGTGTGTCCTGGTTAAAAAAAAAAAAGGGAAGAACCACTTGTTAGGCCTTGGGAACATCTTTATTGAGGATTTGTTGGGCTCCCAGGAGCTTCAAACTCCTCATTTCCCAGATGGTAAATTGGGAATAAACCACCCAGGGAAAACTGCAGCCAGGAGGGAGGAGAGAAAACAGATAAAACAGGAGATAAAAATAAACCCCAAACCCCATAAAGTACGGGATTATGTGCAGGAATGTCGTGCTGATCATTCCCAAGGGCAGGAGAGAAACATCCAGGACTGGAATTTTGGTGGAAACCTGGCAAAGGGAAGGTGGCAGCTCCTTGTCCTGGTGTTTGGAGCAGCTCCTGGGATAATTAGTAACACTCCCAATTAATTGGGGAGCTCACACGAGGTGAGTCACCTCCTTTTTATGGAAGCACAGCTGAGTCTCTTGGAAAGAATTCCCACATCAAGATGACTCTGCAGGAAATCCAATCCCAGCTCCCTCTTCCCAATCCCAGCTCCCTGTTCCCAGTATCCCAGGTGCTGCTCCCAGTGGAGCTGTGGAAGGAACTGCAGGTTTTTGGGGCAAAAAGTCAAACTATTTGTTAAAAAAATCTGTGATTTCCAGAGTGTGGATCCCTAAATCCCCACTTTGACACTAATTCCACCTCTGAATTCCACACAATTTGCTCCCTCAAGGAACTCTCTGGAAATCCTGAAGCCAACAAAACAGCCAAATCCTTTTCCAGAGATCCTTGGGGGAATTCTTACAGCACCCACTGAGATCTCCCAAGTTGCTACATCATTATTATCCCTTAAAAACTCCAATGATATTTTGAATTAAACACTCCAAATTCCATATTCCTGAGACGAGGACTAACCACAGTTTGTTATATCCCACAAAACCCCTGGAATTTGGGTTCCAAACCTTATTTTCGTGGCCTTTTTAAACCCCTTGAAGTTTAAATTTCTTCTCAGAGAGAAAGAAGAAAAGGAAAAAAGAAACATCCAGATGTGATGCTGATGAAAATTAAAATATTGGGGGAAAAAGCTGGAAAATAAATGGATTGAATTCCCAAAGAGGTTTTTTTTGCTTGGAAAATTTGCCCTCAGGCACCTTTAGGAGCTGAGTGAGGTCTCAGGTGAGTCAAAAGTCACAAGACCTGAGGTATGAAAACCTATAAATACCCCGGGCAGGG